AAGACGTTATGGTATCGGGGGTAACTTGTTGAAATGGTTTGAGAGTTTTCTAGACAATAGAGTTCAGCGAGTTGTTATAAATGGTTACACGTCTGATCAAAGATCAATCTTAGCTGGGGTTCCCCAAGGCTCTGTCTTAGGACCCCTATTGTTTATAGTTTATATCAACGACATCGTTGAAGGAATTAACAGCAATATCCGTCTCTTCGCAGATGACACATCACTTTATGCTATAATAAATGATCCTGATGAAACTGCCCTGTTTCTTAATAATGATCTACGTAAAATTTCTGATTGGGCTGATAAATGGCAAGTTACATTTAATCCTAATAAAACAGATTCTATACAATTCTCTCGTAAAGTACAGCCCAGCCCAAAACGAAACTTAACAATGAAGGATAGTAATATTAATGACGTTAATAGCCATAAACATTTGGGACTTATTTTACTGCACGATTGTTCCTGGACTGACCATGTTAACTGTATCGCTAAAAAGGTTTCACCCATGGTAAACTGTCTTAGAGGTTTTAAATATCGTCTCTCACGTAAAACCTTACAAACAATGTACAAACAATTTAATTTGCCTATTTTCGACTATTCTTGTCACATCTGGGACAATTGTACCAAACAGCAAGCACTAACACTGGAAAAACTTAATCTTGATGCACTTAGAACTATTTGCGGTGCTGTTCGCCGTACCAGTCATAAAAAAAATTATTATGAGACAAATTTCCAACCACTATGTACTCGAAGACACATCCAAAAACTAACATTTTTCTATAAAATGGTTATAATTTAACTCCAAAATATTTGAACAATCTCGTCCCTCCTAAGGTATCTGACGCTACGAACTACAGTTTCCGAGACCGTTTGAAGCTCCAAACTATCGATAGTAAAAGTGCAAATTATGCCAAGTCATTTCTCCCAGATACAGTAAGATTGTGGAATTCTTTGTCTACCAATTATAGAGAATCGGCTACTTTGGGTAGTTTTAAGAAACAGATTAATGTGTCAAATAATAATAGTCAAACATATAATTGCAAGCAACGACGAGGGCTCCTTGGCTTTAGTTCTATCTATTGCATCTGAGCGCTAGAAATCATCATCCAAAACGGAGCCAGAACACGTTTTTGACAGGCGAGCGGATCTTCCAAATACAGCCCCCGGGGTCGCAGGGGATGATGTACCTTTTAAGAAGTTGTGGAGAAGAAATAGCTCCCTCTTTAAAAGGTTGTATCTCAGTTGTTCTTGGGTCTACGGTCAAAACAATTAGTGTTCTGGAATCACCAAGCCTTCATCTACCATACTGGCAAACTACTCAGAAAACTGCTGAAAAACATGGCCAAAAACTGAAAATAATTGCCAAACGGTACGTTTCAGCGACTTGACCCGTCCAGGCAAAATTGTTGGGAATTCGATTGTGCATCTGTGCAAGAGATTTGGAAGTGCTGGAACAATTAGTTCTTGAGATATTTGCTGTCAAACTTTGAAATTTTGGAATTAATTTTGAATTATCTCCCCTTTGCTATGGGGCCTAGAGCCTAGAGACTTTTAAGGGGAATATCTACACCTCGGTGCGCATCTGTGTGATTTATTGTAAGCGATTCGGAGCATTGGTTTAGGAGTTATGTTTGGTACAAAAATCGGCGGAATAATAAATAACAAGCATTTGTCACTAAGGTGACATGATCCCCCGCCGCAAACAGAGACCATATACGTCGGTATATGGTCTCTGCCGCAAATTATCAAATCAAACTTATAAAGTAATGAAAGTTTAAGATGAAGTTAAATGTCAACAAAAACATTATTTTGCTCTTTCGTTGTTCAAACACACACATATTTTCAAGACTGACTTTGACTTTGACATGAATGTCATAGTGTATGAAATATGCAAAACTAGTACTAAAGAAATTGCTTATTGAAAAACATTCCAGGGAGGTCTTGAAAGTATGAAGAAAATCCAGTGAACCGTACTTAAAATATCTTGCTGACAATTCAGGTTAACATTCTGAAATCTTCATAGTGTCGTCGTGACCCTAAAAATTATGTGAAGGTCACCAAAATTGACTGGGCCCTGGGCCTTCCCTAGATGAAGCTTGGGATCAAATATGAAGAAACTCCAGTGAATGGATCTTGAGGTATCTCGCTGACAAGCATAACATGTAGGTTAATATGCTGAAATCTTCAAAGTGTCTGTGACCTTGAAAATTAAGTGAAGGTCACCAAAATTGATTGGGCCCTGCGCCTTCCCTGGATGAAGCTTGGGATCAAATATGAAGAAACTCCAGTGAATGGTTCTTGAGGTATCTCGCTGACAAGCATTACATGTAGGTTAATATGCTGAAATCTTCAAAGTGTCTCTGTGACCTTGAAAATTAAGTGAAGGTCACCAAAATTGACTGGGCCCTGCGCCTTCCCTGGATAAAGCTTGGGGTTGAATATGAAGAAAATCCAGGAAACGGTTCTTGAGATAGCTTAACATGCAGGTTAACATGCTGAAATCTTCAAAGTGTCGCCATGACCTTGAAAATTATGTGAAGGTCACCAAAATCGACTGGGCCCTGCGCCTTTCCTAGATAAAGCTTGGTATTGAATATGAAGAAAATCCAGTGAACGGTTCTTGAGATAGCTTAACATGCAGGTAAAACGTGAAAGTCCCCTTGCGACCTTGAAATGAAGGTCAAGGTCACCAAACCTGACTTGGACCTTTCTTATAGTGAGATAAACCTAGGTACCAAATATGAAAATAATCTAGTGAACGGTTCTTAAGATATTCCAATTCGTACGTAAGTGTACGTACATACAGATATCTATAATTTATCTGTATTCCGGAGCGGTATTCAGATAAGCAACATACTGCTTGTTTACCGATCCAGTTCCTCTTTTGGAAATAAATATGTTTAACCCAGACTCTACTACTATCTGCAAGAAAGCATTAATTAATTCCTTCAACCTCAACAATCAGACAAAAGGAATGGTGGATGCCTATCAGATGCTGTTATTTGGTAATTTCATTGATGGTTCTAGTCTGATCTTTATAAAGTATCCCAGCAGTAGAAACGCAAAGATTTCTGATGCATGATGACTGGAAGATTGATTTAGATCCCAAATCAGTGTTTTGTACCTTGATATTAATCACCTATCATGTCAAAACCAGACAATTTATATATTTGAAACTGTAAGCTAAATTAACCTCATTTTGATATGAGTGATTTAAGAAGTCACTGAGGTAAACATGTACATACATTTATTTACTTTAGTATATGGGAAATTTTGAAACAATAAAGATCCCTTCATATCCCCAAAACAGAAATGACAACAATTACTATTTCCTTATTGTCATCCATATTTGGTGATGTAAACCTATATATTTCATGACATTTGCAGCCAGTTTGTAAAATACATGTATATTAAACATTGAGGGGTCACAAAGATGAGTGCATTTCTTAAATAATTCAAAGACAAAACTTTATTTCTTGAAACATTGTCTTTGTTATCAATGTGAGGGATAATATGTCCTAAAAAAATAGTACTATTAATTGTGGTTACGGGTGGTGATGTGTAGTTCATGAACAAAGCCAACAACCAGTCCCCACAAATTGTCAGGGATCAGTGCCCCTTTAAAACCTATCTCAAAAAGACTGACTGACTGAGTTTAGTTTTACGCCACTTTTAGCAATATTCCAGCAATATCACGGCGGGGGACACCAGAAATGGGCTTAACACATTGTGCCCATGTGGGGAATCGAACCCGGCCTTCGGCGTGACGAGCCAACACTTTAACCACTAGGCTACCCCACCGCCCCTATCTCAAAAAGAGATCCACTAACATAATCTTAATCTGTATTACTCAAGTCTTGATTTCATGTGACAACACCTAAGTAAGTAGTAGTAGAAGGTATCCTGCTTTTGATGTAAATTGCATCAATCGCATTTAAGTGGGTCAATTGTTTGTGAACTTTAAGTTGGTGAGTGTGGATGTGAAGACATTATAGTTTTTGGTTTGAAACTGTTTGAGTCATTAGGGACCATTCATAATTTATAGCTCTGTGTGTGTGTGTGTGTGTGTGATATGAGGATTTTAAAGGGGGTCCCATTTTGTTCTGGGGAGGTAGGGGGTCATCAATTTTGTACATTCAAATATTTAGAAAATAGGCTTACAAAATATGGGTATGGGAGGGGGTTTTGATTTTATACATGACATGCAGGGGGCACTTACTTTGTACATAAATTTTAGGGGGCAGTCACATTGTACATGCTTCTCCATAAAAATCAAATCACCCCCCCTGTCATAAATTATGAATGGTCCCTTAGGTGAATTGTATGTTTAATTTTGATACTTAGATCTCCCATATGAGATCAAGACCATCAGACCAGAATTCTTTTTTTGACAGATGTGAGTATAAATGTAGAAGGAATTCACAGGGATATGAATTTGAGTTTGAGACATAAGGTTTGACAGTTGTAGAAATTCTCTTTTCTGAAATATGAATAAGTACTATCAAGGTTTGTACATTGATTGTTTAGCACCACACCCTGCCACACTTCCTAAGAATACTTTATTATATCACAGCCCTATATCATTGAGTTAGCTGTCTTAGAATTATACCCAATAATGACTATTTTTGGATATTCCAGCAGTATAACAAAACCAGGACCAGAGAAATCAGTGATTAATATAAGCAATGATCAATTCCGTTGTCAGCCAGTCAGTGAGCCTGACCATCATTTCCATTAAATCACCTCTGAAGACCAGCATGTTATTGTGGACCTTTCCTAGCCCTGAATCCCCATGGGTCTGAATCAAGGCCAAGCTCCAAGGACTTATATCATACATGCAGTGATACCTTGTACATCACAACCATAATTTGTCCTCACATGCCATCGACAATGTATCTCAGTTTATATAAAAAGGTTGTTGTCAGGAAATAAACCTTACATTCCTACACATATATTGATCAGATTGATCAAAGGCCCATGTAATCAACAGAAGAATCAAAGTCATTCATTTCCTTTATCATAACACATTGCAACAACATGTACAGTTACTCAGGTTAATACATGAATATCATTCAGAGAAATTCACTAACAGCAACATATGCTTCTGTGGTTTAATGTTATTTTGTACAAAACATAGCTATGCACAGAGAAAAGTAAACAACATGGCAAACATTTCTTGCATCATTCAGCATAATTTCCATTAAACACTAATTATATACAAATTATATCACATACTAAATGCAAAAACATTTTCAAAATGCAGCATTTGATTGTGCATACACAATACAAGTAATTTGCATACAATACATTTACACACTCCACTAAAACACAAACCTGTGAAGTATGATGCATCTTCACGCAGAACAACAGATTAAACCAAAGACAAAATTATTCTGAGTTTGACATTGCTCATAATTTTTATGACTAGCAGTCTTTGCCCCATAATCACTAATGTTATAAAAAGAATTAAGTCGCAGTACCACGTCACCTGTGTTGGTCACACAACCTTCAACTTTATGTGTTGAGATGGGCCCTTGGCCATGGTGATCATTTGAAATCAACCAACTGAATTTAACTCTGTGTCTACTGCTGTTGAGTTCAATACAACCATATGTCCCAGAGAAGAGAAAATCAGGAAAGGGACCATTCTTCCCTCTTAATATATTGGTATAATGTTACATAAACTAGTCTGAAATGAGCTGTAGACAAATTGGGTATACCTCATGATATATACTCGTGGTCTTAAAATAATCATGTGTGAATTTGATTGTTTGCAAACTGAGTATTATTGTTCCAATATATTTCCAAAACCCTTGATAAGTGTAACTCAGGAAAAGTTCACAAATACAAATTATATGATGCCGTATCATGAGGCTCCAGCTGCTTTTTCTTTTGGAGGATCAATCGACCTCTTCAGCTCTTCTATTTCATCAATCATAAAGTCAACTGGATGTTCTGGACGCTTGTATACAATATTTGTCGTCAGAGTCTGGAAGTGATAATAAGATTGGTCAACAGCTTCATCAACATGTAAATAGCGTTATCAGATTATTTCAGTATGGTCAAACACTGTTGCAACTTATTTCAAAAACATGTGAAGCCCCTGCATGCTACCACAAAAACGCTAGATAAAAAAAATAAAACAAGCTTCTTTACTTGAAACATTACAAAGTAAATTAACAGTAAAGAAAGATGAATTACAGTCACAATAGTAATTGAGCATGTCTGGTAAATGCATTATATCTATCCATGTTGCCTTCAGTATATTCTGATAAAGACATACATTTTGTATACTGTATACTGAAATACACAGGTTTCTACTGACTAATAATAGGCTGAACCTGTTTGTTGGGTTGTTGTTTTCATAAAAATAGTCGGATGTTGCATTAAAATTTAATTTGTTATGTTCATTAACCTCATTTATTTTGGACAGAACAATAAAGGACAATTAACTCTGTCCGAAGTACAAGTATCCGTGTGTTACGGGTTTTCAGATGCTTTTATAAGAACAAACATTGTTTTCTTGGGTATAGATTCATGAATAATTTTAAAATATTAAAAACAACGTTATCATGAACAGAGAGCATTATCCGAGTTACAATGTCCCTGTCAAGCACCCACCTGAATGAATACTGATGTCCGAAACCATACCATCAAACAATATAGATATATCAGTAGCACTAGAGCTGATTATATGTTTCATTTACGTCAAAACAAAACAATGCAAACAAACAGTACTGGTATGCTGTACTTTATATTTTATTGTATTTCATCTTCCAAATGCTGGACCCACTAAAGAAGATATCAAAAGTTTTTACTTCGATTCAATTTGTATCTAAAATGAATGTTTTCCATGTTTTATAAAAAAAAGTCAAGTAGCCCTAAATACAGTGAGCTATTACTATGGTCATTGTAACGACTCTGACACGGAAATGCGTCGAAAAGGGTTTTAAAAAGAAAGATACCTGGAAAAGCTGAAGAATGTTATGTTTCTCCAGGTATTTAATGGCTTTGTTGTAAGGATCTGGAACTGGTTCCACATAAGTCACGTCTCCTTCAAGTTCAAGGTCTGGAATGGTTTCGCCGATTGCGTCGTTGACACCTAAATCGAGAGTTCTCTGCAACTGTTGACTGATATCTTTCACTTTGTCTTCATTTTCACATTTAGCACTCTCTTCCATTTTTACTTCAATATCTTTGGTTTCTGATCGTTCCATTTCTGTTGCAGTCACCGTGTCTGCCGCCATGTTGTTTACTGACAGGTGTTATGTAGCAACGAAGACGCTATTCGTATTCCACGGAAAACAGTAAAACTTTGTTGGGTTAGGAGATAAATATTATAAATTATAAATAACATTGCACTTTTAATGGAATATCTGCGTAAACAACACTGAATACGAAAAGAACAATAAGTTTGTAAAAAGAGGCCCAATTCGGGTTGACCTTACTTGATTTCCTTGCTTTAAATTATTTCTTGACGTCCTGATCTGACATGTTTTGGGACGTATTTTTAGTATTTTGTTCCTGTAAATTCTTTCTATTACTTCATGTTTTAGACATGTTGGCCATAGTAATGTGTGACATTCGTTTTAACCACATCCTTAATTTTGTTATCTTCGTGAGGGTATTGTCCACATTTTAGACTTTACCATTTTGATTATGGCTATCTGACATTTCCCACTCGCATTTCAGTACAAACAACGGTCAGAATTATGGAAACTGTACATAAACCTCATTGAGAAACAAATGTTAATTTTAAGGAGTCGGAGATAATCTTCAAATATGAAAATGTGCTGCTGAATGTGAGAACGGAATCGCGTATCCGGTCGGGACCGAAAATAGACAATGTTTTACTGCACCGCTGGTAGGGGTACAGAAGTATTTGCAGAGCAAGAGTTGGTAATACGACGTATAGACTATGAGGTGAAGTACTTTCCCCAAACAACAGTGATACAATGATATCGTAGTAATAAATTAACAGACCAAATATGTGTTCATTATATGATTAAGTAGCAATTTTCAATAATGCAATTGAGTTATTAAGTTGTCAGTTTTATTCACTACTCACTACGCCTAGTCGCAAAGTAATAACATAATCTAAAATAATTTGTTTTGTGAAATGTTTCAAATTACAACGGCCACCTGTGTTTGAAAGAGACACACTAACTTGTGGAGCAAATATTCATCTATTTCTATCTCAATCATGCTTTGTATCTTAGCTTAATCATGCTACTCTATACATCCAAATGTGATATCTTATCTTAGCATCATAAGTAGTGTAATGCCAATGTAGTGTCATTCTTTCTTGTTTTTCTTTAGGGGATATACAAAGCATGTTAGATTCCAATTCTACAAGCAACCTAGCTGGCTCTACACTGAAAATACATTATGTGTATCTCATATGCATATTTATCTGACATGAAATGAAAACCATCCAAGTAAACAGATAAATTTATCAGTAGATCAAGTCTAATATTTTCAGTAAACGGAAAAACAATATTAGGCATATTATCCTTCTAAACAGAAGTAATGTGTAAATAAGTACATTATGTTCAACATTTTTGTTTTGTTCATTTTGGCTTGACGTAAAATTTTCGACTTTTCAGGCTTGTGTAACTGATGGAAAGGTGTATTTCAAGAGTGCTGCAGAGAATTATGATAAACTCTTTGATCTAAAATCTGTGGAAAGAGTATTTGTGCAAATCGCTCATTTCAACACAAGCAAACTCTGTACAAAAGGTGAGCTGTAGCTTAATTTACTCCAAGTAGTCAGAGTGAGATATCATTGTCAACTCATTATCATCCAGTTGAAAACGTGGAGCTGTTCTCTAAAACTGATGGAACATGTTGTTATTCTGGAGATTCAGTGATACATAGCAACTTTGACATTTTACAATCATAGAACACTGTTCACTCCTATCTATTCATAGGGAAACACCAGTTCCTTAGATCACTGAAGGAGATGGTGGTGGAGAAGGACAAGTTGGAGTCAGCTCTGGTCACACACAGACATGTGACACATCACTCTGAGCCTGGGGAACCAAGTGAGCCATCAAACAAGAGGTGGAAGGGAGAACATGAAGGATCAAGTCCGCCGTTAGATGCCCCGACTTTCCGTGTGTCCAGCAAAGTGGCTGGCCGATGGGGGAAGGCATTCAGAGCAAGGAATTTCCAGGTATATGATGATAATGTATTTCAACAATCATATATTACTCCAGATGTTGTCAGTGTAAGTTTGTGGCTCAAAAACCTTCTGATTGAAAAGCTTGCTCTTTTTAATATTTACCATGAAGCTTAAATATTGCAGGAAGTCTCTCAGGAGCTTGGAAGGGATGTTGTGCGACTGCTTGGATGGAAGGTTGACTTGAGAAACCCTGAAGTAGAGGTATTATTTCAATATGGACTGTAAATACTTTCTGACAGAGTGATTTCTCGCCACAATCTCACAAGACAAAATCTGCATAATACAACTTCTCTCATAATATATGTTTTCCACGACGTTCATCCTTGCATGCATATGTTAATTGCATCATCATGATATCACATCTCCATTTCTGGTGTCTCCCGCCGTGATATTGCTGGAATATTGCTAAAAGCGGCGTAAAACTAAACTCAGTCAGTCAGTCAGTGATATCACATCTTTGTGCAATGCAATTAATGATCATCCTTGATAATCTCCAGGGTATAGTTCTGATAAATCTCCACTAATACCCTGGATGCATCTACGGCTCGGCCCGATAATTTATTACCTCCCTTTGCTGGCTCCACCTTCTCACAGTAGTCAATCAGATAAGCCGTTACAACCGAGTTTGCCAGTGTCAACAAAGATGGCGACCGCAGCCACGAAGCTTTGCTTGCTGTCTGACTCAGATTTCGGGAAAAAGTCATTCAGACAAATTAACAGGTCTGAAACCATCCAAAAATATATGCAAGCACCGTCCTTCTACCTCTTTCAGGGTACCTCTGCAACAATTGTGTTGCCAAGTTTAATCGGTTAGAAAGTGTGTCATGATAGAAGCCTTGTGATTGGTATGCTCAACTTCCCAGTGTAGACATCTGATTGGACAAAAAGCCAGTAAAGTGAGGTAATACAATTATGGGTCCGAGCCATAGATGCATCCAAGGTATTAGTGGAGATTTATTGGAACGTATACCCTGGAGATTATTGAGGATGTTAATGATAGACAGTGGCAGTAACCTATAGTTTACTGAACTATATTCATCATACCATGTTTCAACCAAAAGAAAGAGCATGTATTTTTTAAAATAAAAATCATTTAACTCATGCACTCTAAATTGTACTCATGACTTTGATGAAAAACATGATCAACAGTTTTAGCAAACCTTTATTAAAATCCTGCTCTTCATCATGTTCCAGATCTGCGTTCACATCAATGATGAGTCTGTGACTGTGGGCATGCCTATCACAAGGTCATTATAATTTACCAGCCAATAGGGAGGTACACTTGCACCATAAGCAAGCTGGGGTTTGAAACTTCTTGTTAAAGAGAAAAACAGATTCCATCCTTTCAGATGATCAAAGATTAAGGGCCCTGAAACACAGAACCCAGATGTCCATTTAATGTGTAGATGTAGTTACATCTATCCAGGACTCATGAACTGGTGTACTCAGACAGATTTATAATGTACCGTTGGCATAAGTTTGTTTTCAGGTGTGTTTGTTTTGCCAGATTCAATAAAAGGAGCACAGATTTTGCCAGAGACCTGATTCCACAAGATAAGGGTTTGAAACTGTTTGGACTAATTTGAGATCCCAGTAAGTTCCAAATGTGCACAAAAAGTTCCAAATGTGCACATATGATTTTGAAGCAGATATTTCTTGATGAAGCCAAGAGGGACTGCAAATCACAATTGACAGAGGACAATGTAATGCATGATATGGATCAATAATGGAGATATTTTTGAGGGCACATCACAGCTGGGTTGTCTTTTTTCTTGAAAAGTTTGCTACATATGAACATGATCAATATCGGAATGTACTTCCAGGTGTCCACTGTCAAAGAGGAAGTATATGGTCCGGCCTGGCTTGAGGTCCACTGTAGCATGGATCATGGCTCATCTAGCAGACATACAGGTCAGTGAGTGAATCCGAGACAGGTCTGAGGTCAGCATTCATTGTTCATAGACTGTGTGGCCATTAGGTGTCTAAATGTGGTTTCCAATGAATCTGTTAGTTTATAGCAGGAAATGTGTCCTTTGAAAGTATTTCACATTCAGTTAAAATGATCTTATTTGGAATCTGAGGCTACATGTAAATTCTCTGTTTTTGTGCAGACAGGTGATGTGGTGCTGGACCCCATGTGTGGGAAGGCCTCGATCCTGGTTGAAGCTGTTCAGGACTTGCTGATTAACAAAGTACAGTCTATATTTTATCAATTTTTCTGACATCTTCATTACATTGTTCATATTTTGCCATGATGCTATATTTATTTAATGAAATAATACAAAGTTGAAATCAGGTTTACACAAGTTCTTATGTGAAATGCACACCACAAACCTAGAGAACTGCTGATTGTTCTCGATTGCCTGCCTTTTCAAGTCTATTGTCTCTCTCACTTCAGTTGTTGACGTGGAAGGCAGCTTTTCTTGTAGTGTTAGCTTCTGGTAGACAAGTCGGAGACATTCATGTGATGTCTGCTGATCCAGCGCAGACAGTGTTTTACAAAGAATGGATCAGTATTCACCTCCCATTTATCTACCGCCCTAAGATCTATCCTGCTTTCCATGTGACAGCTTCTGTCAAAATTCCTTCTCTTTCCCAGCCTTCCACATTTGGGACCACTGCTTCTTTGGATGTTTGCAGGGCCCTCAAGGTCTATATCAAATGACAGGAATGTACAATGGTCAAGATGGAATTGCGAAAAGCACGTTTTGTACTTTGCTTTAATAAATAGTAGGCTACCTCAAAAAAAAGAAGAAGAAAAAAAAGGTGGTATTGTCATCATGGAAACACTTTGAGGAACAAGTCCTGTTTCGTCTGAATTGTCGAGCCACACATGGATGTGTGTTGTATAACTATTTATATCTGGCCTGATACCGATAAATAAACTTTGACCATGACTTGACTTTGACATTTTCTACACCAGAAAATGCACATATATACTCTAATGGAGACAACGAACTGAAAACCCCTATGGGTTTGGCTAATTTTCTTGCAATTATCTGTCCCACCCTGTACATCTATGACAAGCGAAAATCGATCTGATAATCAACAACAATAAAACATTCTTATGTGAGGTTTTCAGAAGCTTTCAACAATATTTAGAAAGCTTATTAAGAGAATCACCTCATGTAATATACTCCTTAGGACCAGTTTAACAAGTTCAGCAAATGTACTGGCTTCAAATATAACAGAACCCGAATATCTGGGTTAGAATAGATACTCAGTAACCCATGCTTGTCGTAAGAGGTGACTAATGACATCCTATCCCAATTGCATAGATTGATGCTCATGCTGTTGATCATTATTGTCTGGTACAGACCGCCACCATATAGCTGGAATATTGCTGAGTGCAGCGTAAAACAAAACTCACTCACTCAAATATAACAGGAAACTTGGCATTGTTTGAAGGTACAAAAACAGACATTTTAAAGTATTGAAATACAAGGAATTCCCCTAAAGAAGCAGATAATTCAGCTGAAGAGTTTTTGTGCAGCCTTTTGATGCAATGTGATGGTTCTTATGTGACAAGAGCACACTACACAAAATCATTTTAGCACTATATTTACAACTGTTCCTTAATGAAGATCACATTCCAGGCACATTACATGGGTTTTGACATCAGTGATGGGCAGCTAGACCATGCTTTGGAGAACAGGATGTCAGCTGGCACTCAGCTGCTGGATCTGGGAGCAGCAAGTGTCCTGTGTGAGTCACTCATCTTCTCCAAATATTTCATCCTTGGATAAATGTTAACTTAGAACTGCTTTCATATACATGTACTTAAAGTAAGTTTAAAATATTTATTTGAAGATTCTTGTGAATGTGTCATATTCATAAGGTAGTTGCCGATTTGTTTTGAAACAGTTAGAGAACAAGTTATGTAAACAAAAAAAGAGAATCTTTTGGCATGATGTTAAGTAGGTAGCATAAAAATAATGAATTCTGTTGCAGATTTACCTGTTCGAGATCAGTCAGTGGACAAAATTGTGTGTGATGCTCCATTTGGATACAAACATACCATGGAAATGAAGTTGGACTTATTCTACCCAATGTTGATACACCAGATTGCCAGGTAACTAGGCACCTGCAAGCAGGCATGGCTCAACACAGGAAACTTATTTCATAGTTTGACTAAATTTAACCATTACAGATGTGCTAAGGAAGTTTTGCGTAAAAGTCCTGAAAAATTCTGAATCACTTAATTGTATTCTTATTTATATAGCTGCTGCAGTATGGCCATCCTGAAAATGCCATCTTGTCCATTGCACCATAATTATTTACTGTAAATGTATTATATATCGTGCAGGTATTATTTTCGCGCAAAATATTTTACCGCGAAAATATATACACAGCGAATAAACCTTTCATTCATTCATTGTATTATTTAAAGGGATTAAGATTACCGTGTGTATTTGAGCTGGAATAGCAATCAGCTGTGCACATGTATCCCGGCGATCAAGTTCAAACATGCACAATAATATAACGGGACGAATTCTGACGCAGTCATCAGTAAAATATAATACAGAATACTATGAACGTGGTAAGTTGTACACACATGGAATGGGGTAAAATAAGGGTATTTTATTTATTCATTAAGATTTTATTTATATTTATTCCTGCATATCACGAAATGAAATCACAAAAAGCTTCATATACGGTAGAAGTTCATTTCCTTGATAGTCAATTAACACATCAATCATCACATTCACAACAACCCGGCTTGTTTGAAATTACGCGATTACGACTTCGGCCTCAGTGTCATCTTTGCAATCATTTGGATCTAGAAGTCCAGGTGTCTTGGGGGTAGGTGCTTTCTAAGGCCTAAGAGACAGCCGGCAGTTCTGGCAATTACTGATTGCGCGAATAATTGACTGCGCGATATAGTCTAAACTGTCAATTCCGCGAAATTTGCACCAAGCGAAAAAAAAAAGTATGTTTACAGTATTCATGTCATGAAAATTGATATCAAGTGAGAATTTGGTATCAGCTGTAACACATTCGGTCTTTCCATGTATTTCTGATTTGACTATAAACATTACAGATGCAGTGCAAATTAAATGTTCACATACCAATAGTTGTGTCAACCTCTTTGAAATGGCCTCCTAATTTCTTAAGCTGAAATTGTGTTTGGAATATATGAACAAATGTGTCTGTGAAGTTGCTCAAGGAACTGCAGAATTCTGGCAGCTATTTTGGAAATGGCATTTTGGCTCCACGCTCAGCATTTCAAGAGATGTGCAGTATTGTGCTAAGAATTATTTGCATGTTTATGTCATCTATGTTGATCTTATTATTTAGAATGTCATATCATATGTAATATTGCATTTAATTAGAGGAATATTCAGGTGAACTACAGAGCAGCATGGATCTACTTCTTTATGTAATAAACTGTATAGGACAGTTCTTCAAATAGAACAATACTTTTAAGATGTCCACCCATTATCCAAACCTGATCATATCCTTCTTCACTTTAGAGTTTTGAGGGTTGGAGGCACTGCTGTGGTGATGACAAGTTGTGACCTGAAGGCCACACTGCTCACCTGTATACACCCACCACACACAGGAACAGCCCACAGAACACTGGCTTATGAGAGGACATTGTCTAGCCGGGTACATCAGACCTCTTCTCAAGAAACAAAGATATCAGGAGAAGATGACAACAGCAGTGGAGGACAGTATGGTAAGGACGAGGACGATGTTGACATCAGCCTGACAACATGTGTGGGCACAGGACAAAACAGCAACACCCCTGTCAGTGCAGACTCTCCATGTCAAGGTCCCAAAGTCATTACAGATATGACTACATCAGACATTAAGACGGACAGATCTGAAAGTGATCATGAATCAGATTTTACAAAGCAGACTGCTCAAAGAAAGTGGACTGTTAATGTTGAATCCACCAGTGTCATGTGTGAATCTGTAGAAAAAAGGTGTTGAACCCAAGGTAAGAGATGAAGACACTCCTGAGAGAAGGGGAATATCAGGTGAATCTGACACACCTACTGAATCGCATCTATATTTGCACAGTGAGCACTATGTAAAATTAGGGGAAACTCATGCATTTATTTTTGTTTTGAGGAAAGAAAATAAATATTGATGTCTTTTCATGGACTCTCTTGTGGCTACTGTTAATGCATTTTGAGTACTTAGGGATAATATATTAAATATTCTAAAGTGGTTGAGTGAGTACCGGTAGATGGTTTTATCCACAATCAGCAGTATTCAAGCTATGTTTCATCAGTCTGTAACTATTCTAGTCTTGGGTAGAGAGACCTGGGCCCACTTGCACAGAACGATCTTAGCGCTACAATTATTGTAAATCCATAAGATCGCGATCTTAGGCTTCGGCTACAATCGCCATCGACTTGCACAAAGCGATTGTAGGCTAAGATCGTTGTAAGTTACAATCGAAACTTACAATTGGTCCCGGACCAATTGTAAGGAGCTAAGATCATTTTAGAAATGGCATTCAAATTAGTGTCTGTTTCACGCAAATAATCAGCTTTACGTTTGGAGATTGCATTTATATTGCATGAAACTGTGTGGTTCATCTCGACATTTCAACAACACGGAGAATGCACAACTGATTAAAACGTCGGATACATTTTTATTTACTGTAGTGAAACACATAACTATCGAGTCGATATCACATAGTACTATTCCCACCGATTCAATGTTGGAATAAGTGTGAAACAACATACCTTCTTGATAATCAAGGAAAGGATAATAGCGAATGGTGTCGGCGTCGCGATTAACAATGGCATTGACCTTTCATTAACTCAAGAGCAGATAATTTTACTTTATAATGCAAGATGGGAGTGGTTTCCCTTGGCATATGCCGTTGCCGTACAGTCTCTCATGCCCAATTGCAGAGCTCAACATACTGATATCTCTTTTCGGGTCATGGAGTGATTTTGTCTTAGTTTATCATTAAAGTAATCTACAATTAGATACAAGTTAGCGTGCAAAATCAAGTTTCTTTCTTATCCATAAATCTAAATTTGATTATGCAATTTAAATATATACAAGTAGTCATCAAATAGGGATATACACATGATGGGGTATTAAACTTTTCTGTTTCAAAAGAATTTCACTTTAAGAAAAAATATTAATCAGCGCAATAGGGTTAAATAATTAATATACTGTGAATCGTGTTTAATAACTACTCTCTTGAAATATTATTTAATGCACGTATTTCCTGCCAAGCATTCTTTACAACACTTCTGTAGCCATTGTTTTATTGTATTTTATTCTAGGTTATATTTAGGATTTTACCCTCCCCCCAACAGCTGCGTATTAAACAACGTCTCATTGACAACCATTGGCAAATCATACATTTAGGTGTTATATCATAAGGAAATACTGTTTATATTTGTTATTTTAAGTTCCATAATTAAGTCGCTAAATCTAGATCCAAATTTATTCATGTATTTTTTCGTATTTCAGTATTTTCATAAAACATGGGTAGGTATTTCTGTTGTTGCAATATCACATTCTCAGTTCATAAATCAAGACAGTTAGAATGTAGAAAAATATATGCTATCGTCCACGTAATCGGTTCCTTCTAAGATTTCTGGGACTTTTTCATGAAAATTCTGCAAGGTGCGATTGAGGGAGGTATGTATTGTGTGCTGGGACCAGTATCACTCTCTATTTGCGCAGTATGCTATGCGCACTTGCAGACAACTGTAGACAGGAGTCGAGTTTAAGAAATTCGCACCTCCACCGTTGAAGAGTGCGATCTTAGCTTTGATCGCGATCTTAAATCCATGCGGTCTTACAATCGCTCTAAGATCGGCTTTGTGCAAGTAGATTAGGGCAATTGTATGGTGATTGTAAAGTTGATTGTAGGGGCCTAAGATTGATTGTAACTAAGATTGCTCTGTGCAAGTGGGCCCAGGTTTGGAAGTATGAGTAGCAGTGCATATTGTGGAGGTACAAAAACACACTATATGCCATTTCAGACATGACTACCCAGTCCTCACAGATCAGCTCCTACATGCATGGTGTCCTTACCATGAAGGTTGTATCAACTACCCTAAATGTCAAGTTCAGAAGATCCTGAATTTATTTTTTATACCAATACAAAAGGATTCTTGACCACCATGCAAGGTTTTTCAGCAGATGACATTCTGTTTTAGATTTATATACCATGATTCTTTTGTTTGTGGTGCAAGTGGTGCAATAGACTTGAATTACTCTGATAATTATGTTCATGGTTCCTCAAACAAACTTTTCCTTATACGAACAGGGTGCCGTTGTACAAAGCCATCTTAGCACTAAGGTGATCGTAACTCCCATACCATAACACAGACTTACAACTTCCATAGCTCTAAGGTTGCTTTGTGCAACAGAACCCTGATGGGCAGCCACACAGGTTTGTGGGAAGAGGGAGGGTTCCTCTGTTAGGTTGTGTTTCAAAAAATACAATCTTCTTGGGTACACCCACCATCAACATAAGATTAGATCACAGGACAGAAAGACAATGTCCTTTAGGACCGTCAGAACACAATGTTCCTGGGGCAAACCACAAGCGATTGTCCTAGAGGACCAATCACAACACAATTTCCTAGGGCTAGTCATAAACCAAAGTCCTACAGGAATCACAAATGATCATCTTTGAGGAACAAAAAAGAAATAAACATGTACTTCCATTTGATTTTATTGTCAACGTGATGTAATAGGTTACATGCAATCAACTAAGTCAATGAGACCGACGACCCAATATATTGTCATGACAAGGAAAGTTTACTTTTGATGTATTCTGACCTAGACTCTCCCAAGACCATTAAACAAATAGTCTGTACATTTTTTATACCTGTAATATTCAAAATATGCTTCTGCTCCTTCCCAGATACACGATGATGTTGCTCAGCTCCTATTGTTGCACAATATGGAGCAAGTGCCATGTTTCTGAGGGTTTTAGTTAGCAGAGATGTCTAGGTATGCCCATGCTTTATTAAAAGACAATGATATGCACCAACATAGCAGTGTAACTTGAACAGGAAGACAAGGCTGACTACTTCACAGTCCAAGCAAGTCTGATTAAAGCTTGCATCTAGGCTCCAGACCTACTGCACATTTATATCTTAGATCACTGTCAACGGCATGTTCAAACACATACAAACTGTCACATTCTAATCATATTTTGTCTGTTTCCTTGAATATCCAGTGAAACTCCAATTAGTCTGGATCTACATCCAGAGGATTAAAGTTGGTTATGTTATGTACAAAGGGACATTACTCAGGTTACACAGCTTTTCCACATAAAGTATAATTAGGCGTCATATTTTTAAGTACCTACATGGTTTGGAATATAAAAGAAAAGAAAAAAGATATTTTACAAAGGGTATACATGTATTATACAAAATCAAGATATAATCTTGGTTCAACAAGACACATGGAAATTCTCTGTATAGAAGTTGACATCCATATATATCACAGTACATACCAAGTTTCATTCCAGGGCTCTTCAGATAACTACAGAAGTAAACTTCATAAAACTATATATGTAATTTTTGAGTAAAATTGATATTTTATACTTATCCTGACTCATGCTCTTTTGCTTGTCTCCTTCCTCTTGCTTGAACATAGTGGAACACTTGTATCTCCCTAATTGAAGTTCCCTTCAATGTAAAATCACTAATTAGTACACCACGAGTTACCTCCCTTCCACAAGCTGGGAGCAGAGCAGAGCCACCCTCTACCCATGTGCCTCACTCTCTCCTCATATACTGAGCCCAACATTTGAATTTACAGGAAATCCAAAGTGTTATTTGGGGAGGATGGGAGGGCTGACCTCATGAGTCAGGATAAGTATAAAATATCAATTTTACTCAAAAATTACATATTTTTCCTTATCCTGACTCATGCTCTTCTTGCTTGTAGAATCCAACAGGCGGAGGTGGGAATATATAATACTTTGGATTTTAATAATTAGTGATTTGAACTGTGATGATTGTAATAACCCTATGAGAACTTCATAAAGGCATTGAACTGATGAATTCCTGCTGCCAGCTTATCAGCTGCCATATAGAGGTTATTACAATGTACTTATTATGATAAGTATATATAATATTAATACAATGCTTAAGACTAATAGACTTAAGCTTGTTAATATCTTAGTATAAACTCCTTAGAGTTTGTTAGCTAAAATACTTTAAGATATAAACATAGCACTAAGCTTAAAATATGATTAATTTTAAGCTAATTATATAATAACAAACCTCTTTAGGGTTTGTTAGTTAAAATATTTATATGATATAGACAGTGCTGAGCTTAAGATATGAATAAGCTTAGCTATATATATAACAGCAAACTTTGTAGAGTTTGTTAGCTAATACATTTTACAATATGAGTATAGTATTGTGCTTAAGATATAATTATCTTAAGCTACATATATAATAATAAAACTTAGTAGAGTTTGTTAGCTAATATATTTTTACAATATGAGTATAATACTGTGCTTAAGATATAATTAACTTAAGCTACATATATAATAGCCAAACTTAGTATAGTTTGTTAGCTAATATATTTTTACAATATGAGTATAGTACTGTGCTTAAGATATAATTAACTTAAGCTACATATATAATAATAAACTTAGTAAAGTTTGTTAGCTAATATATTTTTACAATATGAGTATAGTACTGTGCTTAAGATATAATTAACTTAAGCTACATATATAATAGCCAAACTTAGTAAAGTTTGTTAGCTAATATATTTTTACAATATGAGTATAGTACTGTGCTTAAGATATAATTAACTTAAGCTACATATACAATAATAAAAACTCTGTAGAGCTTATTAGCTAATAGATTTATAATGTAACCATGGTACTAAGCTTAAGATATGATTAGACTTAAGCTAAATGTATATAACAAAAACTCCTTAGAGTTTATTAACTAATATACTTTTATGTTATAAACATAGTACTGAGCTTAAGATATGATTAAACTTAAGCTATATATATATAATAGTAAAACTCCGTAGAGTTTGATAGCTAATACATTTTATTATGTTGATTTAGACCTAGTATTGAGCTTAAGATATGAAGTAAACCTTAAGCTAAATATATAATAACAAAAACCTTTTAGAGTTTTAATAG